TGATTTGAGTTAGTAATATGAAATAATTAATCAAATTGGTATACCGAATGCCGAGATATCTCAATATACAAATATGCCTATACAGCTATACGCACAATGATACATACCCCTTTGAACAGCAAAACAGTGTATCGCGACTTAGACTGGCGTGGACGTTGTGCATCGGCTCCTCTTGTGAAAAAAACTGTTGTTTGGCCGATCTCGTGTCATCCTTATATAATTTGTGATCTGGTGTAATCTTTTCCTAATTGGTGTGCATCGATTGAACGAAACATTAATGTACGACGAATGACGATACGTCTATGATTTTATATTGTACGGTGTAACGTAAACACCGCCAGTATAATATTCGTATCGAACAGTGCAACATTTGATCTTACATGGTTGGGGATGAAGAGAGGTGTTAATGTGTTCCGTGTGTCCTGTGGCCTGTGGGCTGTGGGTGTAGGGAGTATATCTCGTGCGTATGTACATGTATATTGCGGTACTCCGTACGTGGTAGGGACCAGTACGACCAGATATATTCATTTTTATTGAATAAGAATAATTGAATATTTGATATTAAAAATCTGCACACAAATTCGATTTTGCATTATGTCCACATGTTAAACAGTTTATGTTTTGAAATAGTTATTGACAATTGTAATTGTAGTAATGTTATGGATAGTTATAGGTATAATATGAAAATGCGTTAAGTTTTTACATCGTTTAGTAGTGATATTATATGTTGTATAAATGTATAATGTGAAATTGTTATATGTGAGAAATGTTTAAATGAATATAATATTATATGTGTCTTAACTAATTGTACAATATTAGTGAGTTTATGGTTTTAATATCTAAATAAAATGTTATGCCATGTACTTTTGGAGATAATTATACAATGTTAAATCTGATTTCATTGAAATTTTTACATTTTTTTTTTGACTAGGTATATGACGAAGAGAAAGAAATATATGATGGAGAAATTAACTTTTATAATTTATTTAAATTTGTTATACAATGTGTTATTATTAGAACGAGGGTTATGTTTGAGGTACAGTTTGTTTAGGTGAAGTAAAACTATTTGTATATATTAAGATATGGTGAATTTATTGGGTGTGATTAAAAATGAGGCTATATTTAAATGGATTAATGTTTCTTACTTAAATAGTTGATATTAATACAATGTGTTATAAAGTATAATTTGGTTAGTGTTGAATATGTTCTTATTGTAAATTAGTAGTTATTATTTTTACAGAGTAAATAAATAAAATTTTGAGGATGAGATTAAAGTTAGGTATTTATGTTTGAATATAGAAAGAAGAGAAAACTGGAGTTTTGATGATGGTGATATTTTGGGATTTTTTATGGAGTGTTGTTATAGTGATTATTTGAAGGAATGTTTCTTATCATTGCTGTATTATTCATGACGTAGAGGCTTTGCTTGAATTTTTTCTTGAGTAAATTTCTACGTTGCCTTTCGCTTAGCTCGTTTTTATTTTGATTTGATGATGATGGTGTTTGTGTGTCAGTATTGTTGTTGTTGAACTGGTGGGTGATGTTGCTATTGTGGTGGTTTCTGTGATTGTGTTTCAAGTGGCTGTTGTTGTTGTTAAAGTTGAAGCGATTGGAAATACGATTATTGTACCTAGTTGGTATGGATGCGGTGTTATTAAATAATGGATATTGGATTATTATAAAATCTTTTAGGGCGAGTTCCGCGTGTTGGTTGGTTCGTAGAATGCCATGTGACATTGTTTGAAATCGAATGGTTTGTTTGAGGCTAAGCATTTACCTATTTTTAGGATCCAAGGTCCACAATCGTAGTTGTTTGTTAAGAGCGGCGTTTTTCTGTAGGTGGTCCTCCATTTTGATGGTGATATGCCATTGTGAATTTCCCAGTCTTTTAGAAATTTTACAATTATTTCTATATTTCTGTTGTGGCTGTTGTGTCGACTGTCGTAGCACTCGACTATTTTTCCGTTGAGTTTCCCTTTATCAAAATCCAATGTTTAGAAACATTGATCGGGAAGAACAAAATGTCCTTGTCAAACATTGGAAGTTTGGGCGATTGTAAACTCTCCCGATGGTAAACTCTCCCGGATCTACTCCAGTACTACCTGACGAAAACGTGTAAACTCTCCCGGGTCTACTCCAGTACTACCTGACGAAAACGTGTAAACTCTCCCGGGTCTAGTTTAGTACTACCTGAAGAGAACATGTAAACTCTCCCGAGTCTAGTAAAAATCATAAAATAAATTTAATATACATTTAAGTTGCGTTTAAAAATAGTCAATCATATATAATAATAATAATAATAATAATAATAACAATATAAATTAATGTCTTTAGCTGCTATGAACATGATATTATAGTCAAAATACAATAAAAAATAAAATTTCAAAAAATCCAATATACATTTAAGTTTCTATTAAAAATAGTCAATCACAATCTCTGCAGTGTAGCCAACTCGTAGTGTAGCAATAACATTTAAAACAACTCGGGAGAGCTTACATACTTCCTACAGGTAACTATAAAGTTGACCCGGGAGAGTTTACACATTTACTTCAGGTAAACATAATTTTGACCCGGGAGAGTTTACACATTTACTTCAGGTAAACATAATATTAACCCAGGAGAGTTTACCATCGGGAGAGTTTACTATTTTGAAAAATCGGGAGAGTTTACCATAAAATCGGGAGAGTTGTCTCCGATGTCCTCCTTGCAATATTTTTTTTGTGAAATCGACGTTGAATGCGTATGAATTTTGTATTGATTTTTCTGTTATGATTTTGAAATATGTGTCGACTGTTGTACCGTCATACCATTGAGTATAAAATGTGTTACTCATTTTTGAATATTTAGATTTTTGACACGAGTGTTCGATTAAAAGTCGAGGGCAAGACTGATGTTTGTTCATTTTTTTGAATTTCGGAAATAGTGATTTTCGAGGGAGGAGTTCGAATTTTGGTCGATTATATTCGTTCTTTTAAACATGTATTGATATGAGTCATATCATATAACTTATATTGAGTGAATGTCAAGTATGTGTTGAGTGGTGTATCGTTTGAATGTTTATTAGGTGTCGGGTATCGGAGTTTGTTTGTAGCTAATATTGTGTCATAATTATGACATGTTGATGTCGTGTGGTGGATTTTCATCTTATTTGTGTGCATTTTGCTGTGATTAGTAATATTATTAACCTAAGGGTGCAATGTATAAGTTTACTATATTATTGTGGGGGTGCATTTTCAAGAGGATTGAAATTGTAACGGATAATAATTAAGAGTGCAATGTATTCTTGTAATTGATTATAATTATTATGTAGTTTAAATAACTTAAAATATAATTGAATATGCGTTATATAATATCCCTTGTAGGGGTTCAATTTCATTAATGTCCTATTTTTTTGTTTAAATGATTATTTTATAATTAATAATTATTTTGAATTCGGTATCTTATTAAATTAAACTCTCGTTAGGTATATATTTATATAGTTTGTATTTAATGCTAGTGATTGGAATGATTGAAGTAATTCTTATTAAATGTTCTTATTTAATTAAGTGTGTTTATTTCATAAAAGGTGAGATGTTACTGTTATTGTTTGGTTTTTTTTAAAAATTTATTTTGATTAAATATATAAGTGTAATAATAAGATTTAATTGTTTTATTAAGTGTTAAGGTATTTCGTAATGATATTATTTTTTGTCCTTAAATTAAGTTATTGTGTTTTTATTTTTAATTAAATAGTAATGATATAGTTAAATGATTTGGTTGATTAGTATGGTTAAATAATACGTTATTTACTTATTAATAGGTTATAGTATTATGAGAATTTTTAATTCTTAGATTATGTTGGTGTTTTTTGATTTTCGAATTATTTTGATTAAAATGTAAGTGTATTGTAATAGTATGAATTTTACTTATTTGATTAAATTCTAAGATATATGTTATAATAAAAATGTTATAGTTTTTTTGTTATTAATTTTTTTGGTTTATTTTGTGTTTTAGATTTTTGTTCTTTTTTATATACATATATTATTTTGACAAAATGTAAGTGTGTAATAACTGTATGAATATTTGAATAATAATTGTAGACAAGTATAATTTGATTTTTGTTGTTTTTTTTTATAAATCATATTGAGTATTGACTAAATATAAGTTTATAGTAATTGTATTTATATTTGATAAGTAATAATTTTAGATATGTATATTTTACTTATTTTATTAAATGTTAAGATATACGTTATAATGACTATGCTAGTTTTTGATGTTATTAAATTATCTTAGTGTTTTTGTTTTTTAGATTTTTTTTATATTATTGTGACTTAATATAAGTGTAAAGTAATTTTATGAATATTTGACAGCTGAATTACCCGGCGTTGCCCGGAAACAAATTCGTGACAAATAAGATAACGCCATGTATTACCATTTACCGTCTTAAATTCATAATTATCGATAAGACATGAGGTTAGGATACTAAACTTAAAAAATAAAACTACCTTTTTTTGAAAAGTAATTTTTATTATTTTGGAAAAATGCCACAGAACTACCGATTAACCAATATTTTTTTAAGAACTATATTATTAGTTTTTTCACCAGGGGCATATATGTATACGTTTTTTTCTGAGCTTACACGGGAGCAGGCAACATCGCTGATGTCAATTCCTACAACTTTCAATTTCTGTCCTTGTGCCTTATTAATTGACATAGCAAAACAAAGTTTAACGGGAAATTGGACACATTTAAATTCGAAGGGATACTCGTTTGTTATCATTGGTATTCTTGGGATATATAAAATTTGACCACTCGCTGAGCCGGTAAGAATTTCAGCTTCAATAAGGTTTTTTTTCAAAGATAATATTTTTAAACTAGTTCCATTGCACAATTAGGGAGCATTTAAATTTCGCATGAGAATAATAGGCGCACCGATTTTTAAATCAAGTTTCTGTGGGGGGAGACCTGATGGATTTAATGAGTTAAGAAATTCAGCCGGGATATCTATGGCTTCATCTTGATTAGTAAGTGTATCTATGGAAATATAGTTTTTTTTTATCAGCTTCGAACATGGAAAGAACTTTTTCGTTTATGATGTTGACGGTGTCGTTTTTAGGGGCCAAAATTGCATGTTCACGGAGCCATTCATTTGATTTATTGGAAAGATGAGAAATTTCAGGATAAACTTCGTTGATTAAGTTATTTTGATCAAGAACCGAAATCGCAAATGTAGAATTTATGTGTATCATGCTATCCTCATCATTCTGAAAAGTTCCGTCACCTATTTTCAAAAGATGTTGTGAGAAGAGCTCGGCATTATTATCAGTTATCACCACCAAGGTTTAGGTACACGCATATTGGTTGTTAATCTCAATGATGTTATGTAAGACCAAAGATATGATGACTTAAGACAGGCGTTGATTTCACCGCTTTTAGTGCCTTTAGGTACAACTGGCAATATTTGTCTAAAGTCACCAGCAAAAAGAATAACAACTCCGCCCATTGGGCGATCATTATTTTTAAAATCCCTCAGCGTTCTATCAAGTGCCTCAGGACCACCTTTAATACGCGGCGGGTTCATCCATAGTATATGATCTAAGTTTTCCATTAGCAATGAATAACGATATGAACTATCACGTCGCGCAACGGTGATATGGAAGGGGAAGTTTGGGTGGCCACGTCTAGCCGCCGTCCGTTGCCGTACCGCGAATCTCAAACCCAACTAAGTCTACATAATAGGCCTTTGTTTTTAAAGTTAGAGAATCGATCGAATGCCATAAACCTTCTTCGCAATGAGCTCTTCATTAAAAAAAAAAAAATCATAACGATCGGTTCAGTAGTTTCCGAGAACATATCACTCAAAGGTTTTCATTTTCACATTTATATATTAGATAATAAAATAGAAATATTGGTGTACGTGCGATGCATGAGATTATTTTTATCGATTAACTTCTAAATTTTATCCTCGGAATCATTATTCTTATCTACACAACGACGACGACGACGAACAAAAAGGATAGGTTGCCGGTAGCTGGAAACCCGCGGGCCGCACAATACCTATTGGCAGTGAATAATTATAATCGTTAATTACTCCACTAAAACACAATATTTTTGAAAATCCCTTCTTATTGCACGGTGAAAATATGAGAAGAACCTCTATTCCAAATTTTAAGTCCGTACATTGAGCAGTTTTTGAGATACAGCGATCAGTGAGTCAGTGGTATTTGGATTTAATATATATAGATAACTAATTATTGACTAACACTATCGGACTTTATTTATGCCCAAAACCTGCTCCGTGATATCCTCTTTCATTTAAAAAAAACTGCATGACAATTGGATAAGAAGTTTCGAAGCCAAACCGTAACAACGATTTCTTTTGTTTGATTTCAGTTATATATATATAGATACATAATTTACGTGATAATAGCAATGTTATTTTTTAATGTTATTAAATTATATAAGTTTTTTTTTAAATTTTTTAAAATTTTGACTAAATATAAATGTATGGTAATTGTATGAATATTTGATAAATAATAATTCAAGATATATATACACAATTATTTATTTTATTAAATGTTAAGATACCTATACAATATAATGGCAATGTTAGTTTTAATGTGTTTAAACTATGTTAGTATTTCCTTTTTTTTTTATGTATTTTTATTTTTTATAACTTAGTCATATACATTTATGTTTATGATTTGCTGTTTTGTATAGATTATGTGGATGTTGTTTAAATGTATTATGGTTGGAGTAATATTTACAAGAGTTAAAAGATAGATTTGATTCGAGATTGAGGACACATTATGTCGTATCTACGATGTACATTTGAATATTTATGTATTTGCTGAATATTTATTTAGCCAGTTGCATTATTACGTGTCTACAACAAGGACAAATATTTTTTCTTATTTTTATGACACAATCTAAGTGGAAAGCGTGTTTGCAGTCAGTGATTATTAGTAATCCTTCAGACTCCAGACATATTGGGCACATTGTTGGTCCATCGTTCATCGTTTCCAAAAAGACTGCTGTGCTTGTTTGATCAGTTGCCATCTGTTTAGACGGTTGATTTTAACGTCCGTCAAATCAGGTTCTGGAACTGACATGAGGGGTTGTCCTATCAGAAAGTGCCCAGGAGTTAAAGCACATAAATCGTTTGGGTCACTGGAGACACTTGTGAGTAGACGCGAATTTAAGATTTCTTCGATGCGAATTATTAGTGTGGTAAATTCTTCCATGGTCATTATTTGATCACCGATGACATTTCTCAAATGAGTCTTGACACTTTTGATTGCCACCTCTCAGATCCCTCCAGAATGAGGGGCCGCAGGTTAATTAAAATACCACTGATATGGGATTCTACTCATTAGAGTGTCTCAGGTTTTTGCTTCGTTGAACAAAGATTTCAATTGCTGAGCAGCACCTACATAATTTGTTCCACAGTCAGAACGTATTTCAACTGGAATCCCCCGACGAGCAGTGAAGCGATCGAAAGCAGCAAGAAACGCTTCCGTGGATAAGTCGCTCGCCACTTCCAGATGGACTGCCTTCACTGATAAACATACAAATAGAGCAAGATAAGCCTTGTTAGTCTTGGCACCTCGTCGACTGCTTTCTTTCACATTAAACGGTCCACCGTAATCCATGCCAACGAATGCGAATGGTCGATGAGGCTGTACTCGTACTGGTGGCAAGTCTGCCATGACTGGTTGTGGGCACGCAGCTCTATTGCGCACACATCTAACACATGTATGTATAATTTTCCGAATGGCTACACGCCCTGATACAATCTAATATTTTCGTTGAATCAGGGCCATAACTAATTTTGAACCGGCATGTAGAAGGCTCAAGTGATAATGGCTGATAATTAACTGCGTGACATAAGCAGTCTTAGGGAGCAGTACTGGATGCTTAGCTTCCTCGGTCAGAAGCGAGAAACGAAGTCGACCGCCGACACGAATTAATCCTTCATTGTCTAAATATAGTGACAACTGAGCAAGTGAATTGGGGGTTATCAATGCCGAGGTATTTTCCAACCGCTTTCGTAAGCCTTTCCAATAAAAATCTTGCGTTGTGTTCAATTCGAGTAAGTGGACCCCTGCTTACAGGTCTTTGTCTGCAACGGTCAATAAAGCACCATACATAAGCGAGTGTTCGCTGCATTCTTGTTAGTGACGAGAAACGACGGAAGATCTCTTCTGATTCATTACATATAAGGGTATGTAACACACACTTGACTGGTTGTTTATACTCCGGAAGTTGCTCGGAAGGAAGCCTCTTTAAAATTTGACTAGACCGTTGTTCCTTAGGCTGCCGTAAGAATTCCGGACCGTTTAAACGCAACTGCGAAGCAACTAACTGGCGTGGAAGTAAACCTCTTGATGCCGGGTCTGCTGCATTTTCCGTGGTTTTTACGTGATTCCACTCAAATTGTGGCCGAATTTCCTTTATTTTGTTAACTCTGTAACAAATATTTTAAAATCCTTTGGCTCGGCCTTTAACCATGCCAAAACAATCGTCGAATCGGAGAATGCTTTGATGCCTTGTACATAAACTCCTTCAACAACTCCTTCAACAGTGACATCTTGTGTGAAATGAGACGTGCTAACAGAAGTGCTGCACAAAGTTCTAAACGGGATATGGTCAAGGATCTATCGATCTTGGACGTCTTTAGCGGAGCAACCCTTGACTTGCAGGCAATGAAATGCACGTTGATGAAACCTTGATTGTCCGTTACTCGTAGAAAGACCGTCGCAGCATAACCCCTTTGTGTCGCATCTGCAAACCCTATTAACTGAGCCTTTATGCAGTTTACGATGCTGACATGACGAAATAACTTCAAATGCACCAACGATGTAAGTTCTTCTATGAATACATTCCACTTGGAGGAGATCTCTTTGGAAATCGGAGTGTCCCAGTTCAGTCCTTGGCACCATAACTCTTGCATTAGGCACTTCGTCCAGAAAACCATTGAGCCTAATGTCCCAATGGGATCATAAAATCGAGCGAGGACTGATAGTACCGATCGTTCTGTGGGTTGCATCCCGGTAATATTTGACCTGTATCCGAATGTATCTCTAAACGGGTCCCAATAAAGACCCAATATTTTGACAGCCTGTCCAGAATGAGGTTCATAGTATGGGTTACTGGCGCAATGCTCTTTTGCAACGTCTTTCAATACTGCGGGGCAATTACTAGCCCATTTACTTAGCTCAAAATAGCCTTTTTGTAACAACCCAATTATTTGACATTGCACATTCACTATTTCTTCCCTTGTATTGGCACCTTCAATAATATCGTCCACATAAGGTGTATGACCGCAGAAATTGTCTTGCCAATGGAAATTCTGGACCATTATCTTGTTTCAATTGAAGAAGACAACGAATGGCTAAGAACGGTGCTGAATTTATACCATAGGTAACAGTGCATAACTCATATCCTTGTACTTCTTCGTGTGGTGAACGCCTCCACAGAATGTGTTGGTAAACACGGTCTTGTTCTCAAACGAATATTTGTCGATACATCTTAACTATGTCTTCTATGAACATGTACTTATAAAATCGACAACACAATAAGATGTCCCCGATATCAGTTTGCAATTTAGATCCTGTTGCTAAGCAATCGTTCAAAGAACGTCCCCTGCGAAGAGGGAGCGGATGCATCGAAGACAACTCGAATTTTTATGTCATTCTCCTTCCGTTTTACAACTGCATGATGTGATATGAAATATTTTCCAGCGCGTTCGGCCAACTGCATATGGTCTAGTGCGATATATTCATCCATAAAGTCATGATACGCATTATATAGCTCTTCGTCTTTGCTTAAGCAACGTTCGAGGTTTTACCAGCGATTCAGAGCTAATGAGCGGGACGATCCTAATCCTAATCAATGACCTTCGCGCTTTGTGCCTTCCTCACCCATTGAATCCAGAATTATGGATTTGAAAGGCAACGCAATATGAAATCTTCCATTGCAATCTCGTGATACTGTTTCTTGGAAATGTTTTTCACATGCTTCATCTTCCGTGCTTGGTCAAGTTCTTCAACTTCCCAAAATCGCTGTAAGAGCTCTCCTATATCTTGATTATCTGATGCCGCATGAACTGCCAACGATGAAGCAGTAGAGTATTTCCTTGACCCTTCTATGGCTCCGACTATTACCCATCCAAACTGCGTGTTCAAGGCTAAAAGCAGACCGGGACTATGGACTATGTCCGATCGTGATTGTAAGATAAATGGATACAAGTCCCCTCCAATCAACATATCCACTGAGCCTGGCACATCAAAGTTAGGGTCAGCAAGTGGGAGATGCCCGTATCGCTCACGAATTGAAATGTGTTATTTTTGATTCGGCACAAGCGCAGTGATTTTTGGTAATATTACGATATTGGTGGCCGATGTTTGCGGAGCATCATACAGCAATGGAATAAAACTACAATTGGTTGAACCCTTTACAGTTCGTACAGGCTGCTGTGCCTAACCACTACCTCTATTCGTCCCTTATGACGAGGCAACCCAAGTTGGATAGCACATAGATTGGTAATGGCCGAAATTTGTGATCCAGTATCTAATAAAGCTCGAACTGGCTCCAGCTCACCAGATTGGCCTCGTATCCTCACTATCGCCGTAGCTAGTACAACACTCACATCCGATTTTACAGCGCCTGAGAAGTTAGTAGATGTGAAGTTCTGATCCGCGGGGCTTTCAATCGGTTTTGGAATTGTCACTGCGTTAGGTGTTGATAACTTTCTTAAACCCTTATTTTTTGAATCTAAGTGGAGCAGTACACTGTGTCATCCTTCACAAGTTTTGCATAAGTACGCCGACTTACACGAGTTTTTTTCATGATCCGGAGGTAGACAAACAAAACATAACTCCTTCTTTAGGACAAACTCCCGCCGTTCGGCTACAGATTTTCTCTTGAACACTAAACATCGAAATAACGGGTGATCACGATCGCAGAACGCACATCTGTTCTTGGCAGTAGCAGTAGTCGATAATGTAGTCTTCACGGACGTCTGGCCGCCCTTGCCCTTTCTAGAACTACTGTTGCCCACTGACAGCGTATCCGCGTTAGCGCCGACATTGTCAATGACACGGGCGCCGATGTAGAATAGCAAGAATCCAGACAAATCAACAACACCAAGTGCCTTTAACGCGGAAACATTCTCGCGAAAAGTATTAACAGATGGTAATAATGAGGATACCAATTCCCGCTGTAAACGTTCAAACGAAAATAGTTTATCACAATATGCTGTAGCGAGAAGTCGCTTGTTGTCATAACGATCCGAAGCGCACACCGGCGATTGCATAATTATCCGAAGTTTGTGGAACTGATTTTACAATGTTCAAGGCCGAACCTGATAAGCAAGACACCAAATAATGAAAGCGCTCTATATCCGTTATTAACCGATTTTCATGCACTAGTGACGTAAACATATCGCGAAACGCGCACCAATTGATAAGACTACAGTCGAATTTTGGAAGCTCAATCTTCGGCAAAGACAGCGACGCACGAGAATTATGCGTATTTTCGCGTTCTACGATTGCACTTTGTTGTGTAGTCGAAGGATATCCACGTATTTTCGAAAACACTACCTGAATCTCTCCACACATTTCTTCCATATTCTCGGTAATTTCCAAGTCTAAGCTTGTAAATTCTTAACGGCAGGCGGTAAACTGATAGGTTTTTTGATAGTAGCTCTTTTTATATTAATTTTGAGTTCCACGCGTTATTTGTAAACGAATTGTTATCGGTTTACCACGCAGATTAGTCAGACAATCGTTCTGATCTTTTTGCACGATATTTACTTTAGTTATCGAAGTCGTGTTGAGACCATAAAAAACTGGATGCCTAGGTACCTCAACGATTTTATATCCAACAGGTACAGTAGGATAGAGCTCGTGTATGATCTGGCTCGGCACTCCGTCACAGAATGAGCCGGTGATTAAATTACACTTTACTTTTATACAGTTTATTTTCATTATGTTGACAATATTTTCAGATTAATGAGTAGCACCAGTAGTGTATAGTACATTTTTAAAACCTAACAATTCCGCTATGCTATTCTCAACTCCTAAATCAACTTCATGGCTGCACGATATTATACACTTTAATGTTCTACTGTTTGCTTTTAATTCAAACATACTGACATAGTCGGGCATCATTTTTTGTATAATAGACTCTAACTGATCCAACTCAAATGTTTCCGTAGGTTTAATTACGCACACATTTTCATTGATCAAATTACGGAAGGCAATAGTATTACAACCAGGTTCTATGTTTGGTATAGAATTATTTGTCTGTAAGCTTAAAAGACCTATCTGAACAGTGAACAGTATTTTCTACTTCCAACGGTGGAAAGATCTCGCATGACAACGCACTCGAGCTTCCGGTTAACGTTAATGTGAACATGATAAAAATTTTAAACACAAGTGTCCACAGTTTGCAGTATTATATTTCTGCTCTCTGCTGTAATTGAAATGTATGTCACATCCGTGAAAATATTTTTGTACTTCTAATGGTGGAGGTAAATTTCCAAAACTGTCGTAAAATATTCGACTCTTTTTCCGATTTTCTTATACGCTACCCAATGCGTTCCTGTACTTTCCCTCGTATCCAGGATGATAATCGCTGACTCTAAGCGTTTAGAACGTGTACATAATATATCTCTGTTAAACACGCCGCTGAAATTAGGTATTTTCATTAAACTAGCGATTTTTATAAGTTCGAAATCGTACAACGCTCTACTGGGTAACGTAGATATTAGTTTTTTTCGCTTTTACACCCCTACCACTTTTATGAGGTGTTTCTATTTTGTATGAGTTGCCTTTATACGGAGTGAGATATAGCCCTTTGCCTAAATGCGAAGGAGTGTTTCTATTAAATTCATTAGCAACCTTCACAACGTTGGCTACACTGCCAGTCAGGGCTCCCAGAGCTGACAACCCGGCAAAAATCGGTATGAGTGGTAGCGCACCGCCTTTTTTCGGAATATTTATTGTTCAAGGAACTTTTGTCTTCTTAGTTTTGAATGATTTTCTCGTGACGGCTACACATTTTTTAGTCAATTTCATCAAGTTTTTTTGACCGGTATTTTTCTTTATAACGTCTTTAGTGGCTTTAAGTGGTGCTTTAAAACCGCAGCAGCCTCCTACTTTACGTTTCGCTTTCATGGAAGTAGTCACACCCCAAGCCACAGCTTTTTCTTTTAAACTTGAATCTTTTGACTTCAACCTATCTCAGGCTCGCTGTTCTAATATATAATCGGCTTTGTTACGATCTGCGATAGAGTTGCTATCACTCGTATGCAATATCGTGGTCCCTACAAGCAGAGTCTAGTAGGTCATATTTGTCAAAACGAGCTAATCGTTTTTTTAAATTTGTACCAGGTCCACAGTATTGATAACCTAAAAAAAATATAAATATTATTATTATTATGTTAATATCGGATTTATTATTCTGGACTTACCAGGCACGTGAACTTCCAACGGCAATTTATTTATAAGCGTGTTGATAAGCCCACCACCCTTATTCTTGTTGCTTCTTCGAGCGAGTGACATTGTGTATTGATTGATTTATCATCGTTGCTCAGTTATTTATAATGAAGTTTATCAAGCAAGATATAAAACTAACAGTTGAAAACGTGGACCCACCTACAACTGCTCAACAGCATAGACATGGATCGCTGCTACCTAATACGATACGTGCACTCATCGTCGGTCCTTCCAGCTGTGGGAAAACTAATTTAATATTTACCTTATTAACCAATATAAACGGAATATGATTCCATAACGTATACATATATTCAAAAACATTGGATCAACCCAAATATAAAATGCTAATTGAAGTATTGTTGATGTTGGATTATTTACATTCTATGAAAACGAACAAGTTATTGAACCTGAGCAAGCTTTACCAAACTCTGTGTTTATTTTCGACGATATTATTACTGAAAACCAAAAGATTGCAAGAACTTACTTCTCCAGAGGTCGGCATAATTTAGTTGATGTATTCTATATGGCTCAGAGTTATTCAAAAGTACCTAAACAACTTTTGCGCGATAACGCTAATTTTATTGAATTATTCAAACAAGATAAAATAAAACGTTTCGATCCATCAACATTTCAAGCCCCATCCGTCAAACTTAAGGAAGACACCATAGAACATAGTGTTGAGGAATGAGGATTCTTTCAAAATAAACGACTGGTATAAGCATAGGCGCAAATCACCCAAAAACATTAGGGGGGCTTAAGCACCAAACATTTTTGAGGAAACAGACCAAACTCGTGAGGGGCTTCGCCCCTCACACACCCCAATAGTACTATACCATATATTATTATATAAATAAAAATATAAAATAAAAATCAAACAAACACAACTAAACATTTTATTATTATTATTTATTTATTAAAAATGTAAAGGCAACGTGCGCTTATTTTCAGCAAACTTATTTAAAATGATGTCTTTATCAATGACTAGATCGCTCTCAATATGAATTATCGATAAGTCAGATAGTCTTTCCTGACCCATCGTGGTACGTGTCCAAGATTTTATTCTTCTCATTGCAGAAAAGCTTCTTTCACAAGAAGCAGATGATATCGGCAAAACTAAGGCAACTTGAAGTAGCTTGAACAGATTTGGATAAACAGTCTTACTGATTACCTGTTTTAGCTCTTTTAAGCCAAATTTGTTACTAAGTTGAATTGCACAATTTCTAGCAACTGTCATTTCCGACTTTAAACACTCCATGTTTATTGAAAACAAATCCTTAAATATAGAATTATTTTATTATATAAATGTACTTAATAAAATATTTAAAAGGGACTCAAAAATATTTTTCAAACCTTGTAATGGTTAATAAAATATAATGAATTGGTAAAGTCAAGACTTATAAAACTCTCTGTTGCTTGGGCTAATTCTTGCGATTCTTCGGAAAATCTTAATTTTAAATGACTTAAAATGGTATCAACAATAGGGTTGTAAAAATGATTACGCCAATAGTTTTGAATTTGTTTGTCTACGGTTTCTGTACATTGAATTGGTAGCTGTTGTTCTGCACCAGTAGCAACAGTAACATCAAAGTCTCTTAAATGATAAGGTTCAGTACGCTGTCTTTTTGATTCTAAAATTGAAGTGTTGACTACTAAATATTTATCAATTATTATAATTAGTATTTAATTACTTTTTGGAATATCAAGTGAAATATCATTTTTAGATGCAAAATTTGAAATTTTATCCCAAATTCCAGAAAAGTGATCAATATTTCTCATTTCTTCAAATGTTTTTATCACTCCATTTATGGTATTTGTAGCATTGCTCAAATTAGTATTTTTTTGCTGCAACTGCTTACTCAGTATATTTATTATTTTCAATACTTCATGGAATATAAATAGATGAAATACAAATGTTGGGGTTTTCATCATGTTCAAGAGACCTTTCAATAGAAAAGATATATAGTTACTAATTAAGTAAAATAAAGTAAGTATAGAAAATATAATAACTAGCAAATGGGTATTAATAATGAGAAACATTTTAAAATTATACATTTATCATTGACATAAATTAAAATGTTCGTATAATTGATTGTTACCAATTGCTTGTGGCACATCTCTATTTAAACCTTCGTCAACTTCTCTTACTAAAATGCTAATTATCGCACCAAAATTGTTTAATACAGCATCACAATTTTTGAAGCGACAGGCCCATCTTGTTTCACACAATCTCGTGATAGATAATGGTTTAATTTTCATTTCAGATAACAAATTAGTCAGTTCATTATTAATACCAGGTTGAGAAAAGTGAACGTATATAGCTTCAAGAGTATTAAAGAAATTTCTTACTTCCTATATTCAATTTAAATTTAAAATGAAATAATATTACAAATACAATGATATTTAAATTGTTTTAAAAAAGTTCATCACACAATACCTTGATACTACTGCAAGTATTACAAACAACTAAATTTAGTTTATGAGCTAAACAATGAATATATACTGCCTCTGGATAGTGTTCTCGAATTTTTTGTTGAACTCCAGATACTGACCCTGACATTACATTAGCTCCGTCATAAGATTGAGCTACTAATGGTATTTTATGAATATTATACTTTTCAATTGCAGTCAAAATTGTACTAGCTAAATGTGATGCTCCTCTGCCACTTGAAACATCCATAAAACAAATAAATCGCTCATTTACTTCCAAGTCCTTAACATACCGAATACAAAGTGATAACTGCTCTTGCTTGTAGGATCTATAGAATATAATGTATTAATACAATACAATTGTTAGTTATTAATTTAGTAAATATTAAGAAGGAATGTATAATTTATAAAACACTTAACGTGAACGACGAATAATTAAACAATGTCCAACTAATCGCGTAGACTCGTGGTTGGGTAATGCCGTGCTTGGAACCGTTCTGGTATTATAATTTTTAATACAAATAGTAAAAACTATTTATAATTTATAATCAATGATATTATTATGTTTGTAATAACTAATAATTGATATTTGATAATATTATATATATATATTATTATATTATAGTGACGGTCGACGGGACGGAATGCAATCAAGCTACAAAATTATTTTAATCCTATTTTATGGAATTCCTCACTGCGGGTCTAATTAAATAAAACTATATACCTGTAGTGTCGTTGCGGTCGGTCTGCGTAGATTATAGATACTCCGAATTTTATTATTTACATACCTATATGTTTAACAATTTATTATTTCCCTTTAATATCATAATTTCACAATTATTATGATATTAAATAATATGTTTTATACGTCATTGCAGTTAAATATATCCAGACGTAAACTCGACATATACATATTATTATATTATAAATAATTAAATAAATATAAAACTGTTTTTGAATTTTTAATAAATGTAATTAATTTGAAAATGTGATGGTAAGTACTATAAGTTATAATCACGGGATTCGGGGTGCTAGCATTAAAATTCAGGGTGCTAAGCACCCTTAGCACCCCTGCGATTTGCGCCTATGGGTATAAGTCTTACGATGTAGACAAGACGTATGGACCTAAAATACAGACAAAGGGAAGTGTACACTTAGGTAAAAAATAAAATAAACTCGCTGATAATACGTGAACTATTGAAGATACGTCATATCCACTAACACAAGGACTTGGTAATTTAATATTTTCAAAAAATCCTAAGTTGTATACCAAAAACAATTTAAAAACATATAAATCAATATTAACTCAAACTTCAGCTCATTTGACAGCAGACGGTTCAAAAATTAAAAGAGGTGGGAATAAATACACGGATTTAATCCAAAATCTATTTCCATCTGGCCCTGGACTGTCAGTTAAATTACAAAAACATAATTTGGTATACTGGAATGATCCTAATGAGCTAGTCGATCGATTGAAGTTACTGTTGGCGTCAAAAGCAACTGGTAATACAGTAGTTTCAAAAGAAATACTTTCAATTTATGAGGAATTGCGTCAAGGATAATAAAACGAATTCCAGAAGTCTAAACGTGATAATATGATACCATATTCAAAGCAAAACAAGGGGTGCAAGTATATTCTATGTGTCATTGATTGTTTTACAAAGTTTGCCAGGGCAATAGCGTTAAAATCCAAAACTGCTAAAGAAGTTCCAAAGGCAATGTCTAAAATACGGCTCAAACGCTCGCCAAAACTATTACAGGTTGATAACGGTAAAGAATTTTATAATTCTTCATTTGATGCGTTGATGGTGAAGCACAACATACATAAATATTCGACTTATAGTACAATGAAAGTGTGTTATTGTAGAAGGTCGTATGCCATTTCGCCGCCAAATTAATCCCATTTTGCCGCCGACCCATTTCGCCGCATAAAATTATTTTTGTCTTAGAACATGATTATGAATTTGTGATTTGAAAAGTGATAAATAGACACAGAGAAATATTTATCAGAAATATTTATCGTTTGAAACGATCTTAGTGCTATACTATCTCAATTCTGAAGTTAACGATTGATAAATCCCCAATAATTATATAAATAAAATAGAATGAATAGTGTGTCGTTGCAGCGATAATTGCAGTTACCACAGTCAGTGTCATATGATTATCACCAGTACGTATTTGCGCATTTACAGTTTACAATTTTTAAATAATTATGTCGAATATTGAATATATTTCTACGCAGCGAAAAGGGGAGTGCCTTATTTTTAATAACTATTATTTTAGAATTGATAAAAAAATAAAAAAAAATAAAAATATTGGAAGTGTATTGAAAACTGTGGAGCTCGTGTAATAATTTCAGATGAATTCACTGTACATTTCGATAAGTTTTGTAATCATAACCACAGTCCTCGTTCAGTTAAAATTGAAGAAAAACGTTTTAAGGCTAAACTTCGTTTGAGAGCAAAAGAAAACCCTCTTGAACCAATTTCGAAGGTAATTATAAAAATTTTAATAAATAATTTTCGAAATATTTCACTTATTTTAATGCTGTTTATAGGCATTTGAAATATTCGTTTTTGTTTATTATTTTTGTATACATATTTTATTTATTTTGTAGGTATAATTCATAAAAATTTTGTGCAAATAGCTAAGAGTTACTTATTGACCACTCTTAAAATAATAATTATACCTACTACATTGTATACGTAATAATTAAAAGAAAAGTTAGGATTTTTAAGATTAAATTATTTAAATATTAAAGATGTTTAATAATATACTACAACCACAATCCACACTTATAGTTTAATATATTGGCATATAATATATATATATTATATAGATAACTGTAGTAGATACCTACGATAAGTATAAATTCATTTATTTATTTCAATAGATTTATAAAGAAGTTCGAACTTCATTTTTAAGACAAAAAGGAGATTGTGTACCCAAAATGAAAGAGAAGAAGCGGTAGCAACATATCAATCAGTAAAATCAAGTATTCATCGAAATTAACGTAAGGAAGTGCCTCCACAACCTGAAAATAGAAAAGACCTACATATACCAGGTTTATGGAGTCAAACATTAGATGGAAGAAATTTTATTTTATGTGACGATGGTTTAGATGATAAAATTTTAATTTTTGGAACGCCAGAAATTTTTTCTAAAATGTGTGACGTTAAAACTCTGTTTATGGATGGTACTTTTAAAAGTGTACCAAACATATTTTTACAATTATATACTATACATTTTGTATATTTTGATGTAGTATTCCCAGGAATGTATGCTTTACATCCAAATAAATCTGAAACTTCATATAATCGAATGATTGACCTTTTAATATCAAAAGCTAATAGCTTAGGAAAATGTCTATTGCCAACAACTTTTCAATTAGACTTTGAAATAACGATGTTTAATACAATAAAAAATAAATATCCAGATGCACAAATTCGTGGTTGTTTTTTTCATTATACTCAGGCAGTTTATAGGAAAGTTGTTGATGTTAGTCTTCGAAATGATTATGTTTCATCGGAAGGTGATCCATTAATTAAAACTCTAGTTCGTAGAATTTCAGCTTTGCCTCTAGTTCCTATAGAACAGTTAGACGATTTATGGTTAATAATAGAGAGTGAAAAACCAGAAAATAATGAAAAAGTGGAAGAATTGTTAAATTATTATATTGAAACATGGTTAGACGATTTAACACCTAGATTTAGCCGTTATATTTGGAACCACTGGACTAAAATTGAGGATGACATGAAACTTCTTCAACGTGGAAAAAAAGTAAAAAGAATTTACAACAAATATGTTAAGCTGGAACAAAGAATTTGTAGTCTTAAAGAAAGAGTGACGAGCGATCCTCCGCAGATGAAATGGATTAATTATTTGGACAATATTAGTTATTTAATTAAACACAATGAATAATTGTTGAGTAATCATAGTAAAGCATAGTTTTATTTTTGTTTTGTCATGTCTTTCTGTTACACCTTGCATAATAGTTAAGCAAATAAAAACATCAGAATATTTAGAAAACAATTTTTTTTTATATATAATTATTGAAGATATATTTAACTTTTTTAAATACAATAATTTATGTAGGATTAAACAAAAAATTTCAATACGTATATTATAAAACGTAAAGGTATAACAATTAATAGGTAATACTAAACTATAGGCAAGTATAATATATTAACATTTTTCATCGTCAATATTTTAAATTAGGCACATTTTATATTTTAAGACCATGACAGTTAGAGAGTTAAAGAGTTACATAAAAAATAAATTCAGCGAAATGGAACTGCAAAAAAATAAATTCGGCAAAACGGTAGCTGACCTTGTAGAACGCTTCAACCACACATTGAAAGAAAAAATGTTCAGAGAGTTTACTGCACGTGGCTCTCACTAATGGATATCTATTTTACCTTCATTGATTAACGAATACAACAATTCAGAACATAGAACAATAGGTATGACCCCTGATACAAACGCTTCTTCAGTGAAATTAAAGCAACGTCAAATTATTAATGGAAAAATTAAATTTAACATTGGTGATTATGTTCGTATAAGTATTTTCAAAAGGTTATTTGCCAAGGCTAGCCTACAGAAATATTTAAAATTATCAAAATAAATAAAACTTCTCCCACTACTTATCAACTACAAGATTATACTGGAAACCCTATTGCAGGCTGTTTCTACTCTGAGGAAATTCAAAAAACCAATCACCCAAATGAATATTTAGTTGAAAACATTATACCTAAGAAGGGGAAGCAAATTTTCGTCAAATGGTTAGGGTTCGATAATACGCAGTACGCACAATAGTTGGATAAATACAAGTGACATTAAAAAATAGTATCAGTCTAGCTGCAGACATGAACATGTTTGGTAGTACTCAGTCTGGTGAAACAAAACATATTTCAAATCTTGAAAAGACAATCCAATCGTTTTCGTCTAAATTAGATAACATTGAGCATTAACTTGAAGAAAATCATAAATCTATTTTAATTCAAGAAGAACAAATGGAAATAATACAGTTAATATGTGCACAGATAACTGAATATATGAAAAGAGGTAGAGTATCATTACAATCAACCAAAGAAAGTATCGACGGGTTAAAAAACATATTACCTGCTATACTCGGTCGTCTTAATACTATTGAAACTTATTATAAATACAAGCCATAATGTCTTCAGCCATCTTGGACATGCAATGAGTACTTGGTTTAAACAATAAATATATGATTAAAGAAATGTCTATAGTCGACACAGAAACTTGGGTGACCCAACACTGGATTTTTAAACATTCAAAATCCATGGAGGATAACAAAAGTCGTAAAACCAACAAGTGGCTGGAACGTAATTATCATCAACTATCTATAGAATACGGCGATAACTCGGTAAAATATTGAATTCATTAAAGTTCACTTGCATTTACATCAAAGGCGAACAGAAAAAACAAGTTCTTATGGAATATATACCACACGTCGCACTCATCAACATCGAAGACTTGGGCTGTCCTCGTTTGGATCAAATATATGATGATGAAACTTTACCTTATTGTATTTTTTATATGGGATTTAATCCTAAACAATGTACATTTTACAAAGTATTTGCTATAAGAAAATGGTTTATAAATAATTCTTAAAAATTTGATTGTATTTAATAAATATTATATTATATTTTAACATTGATTTTTTATTTTACATAGGTAACCTAACATTTATCTTAATATATATAGGGTTATAGATTACAAAATATACATGGTATTTACAAAATAGATTACAATAAAAAAAATATTTATTAATTAAAAGTGTAACAAAATATATAGATTACAAAATATACATGGTATTTACAAAAATTTCAATTGTACGTTTTGTAATAAAAATATAGAACAAACTATATACAGGTTAGGTTATGCAGCGTAGAAGGTCTCTCATTAAGCCTTTCTCTTCCTCACTCCAGTTATGTTCTTCTTCATCTAATTCAGGCCAATCATCCTCGGGCTCATCTTCCCTATAAAAATTATAAATATTATAAGTAAATAATTTATTTTAAAATTTACTTTAGAGTAATGTCCGTGAGCCAGTGTGTGCACTTTATCTTGCAGCACACAGCCCTCTTATCATCGTAACTGTTGTATGTTAATTTAGTTATTTTTATGGTCATCAGTTGGTGGTTGAATGATCTGATTGATACGTTCTCTTTGTATAACTCCAGTCCAACTTCCTCAAACAAACACTTCCTATGGTCATCGAGAGTCATGTGGTTTTTAACCACATGAGCCCGGATCCCTTTCGCCTTAATATTTTTACGTCCAATCCTGTCCTCTGGCCCGGCATACACATTAAAAGCGTAGGACTTTGCCCTCAACGCACAAACCCCGTAATTATGTCTCCATCCACTTCATTGAAAAGTACCCTGGGGACTTCTTCCTGTCTGCTATGTAACATGGATGGTCACAGGGGAAGGTTGGCGGTGTCCATCAGGTCTAACAAGCTAGGGTTAGCCGCCAAGTCTACATAAAAATCATCCGTCTGAATGTGATACACTAAAGAATCTAAAAAAATAATGATATCAAATTAATATATTACATACATGAGATTATTTTAATTATATTTACCTATGTCAGTATACATGAGCTTGATATTGCCTCCATAGTGCCTCTGCATCACATTATAATGATAGTCATACGTTAATGTTTTCGATATGTCCAATAATGCAAATCCTATAAATAATAAATGTATTAATAATTGTATGTTATATAATATAAAAAGTATATTTACAAATATATATGGGTTTATCAAATTTTATCATTTTATTCTCCAGAGCAACAGCATTTAGATTTTTAGTGTAATTGACACAGTGCTTAAATGTATTCTTGTTGATCTATTTCAGTAGCCTCCTCTCACACGACACCAACTCTATCTTCATCTCCTCCCTCTTCGATTGCATAGTCTTTCCTGGAAAAAAAAATTTTAATAAAAATGTTTAATACATAGTATTTAGTGACTTACCAAATACAGCGTTGTTCATTAGCTTAAAGAAATCTTTTTCAAACGCATTTTTTGCCTTTTTCCTCATCTCCGTATTCAAATCAATATATTTCGCCAGCCAATCCGACTGGTTGAACTGGACAACTCTGTGTACCTATAAAATAAGAAAAAATGAAAAAAATATGTTTAAAATCTTATAAAATACAAATATTTACTTTTTTAACTATCAGACCATTCTTAATCGCCTGCTGTAGATTTCTATAATGGATAATATGGTTCTTCTTGAAGCGCTTCTCAAACGTTGCCATTAACTTCCTCACCTTTGAACCACGCGGCACACTATTTTGTGGTGGGAAGGGGAGGTCGTTGTGGATAGTATGCAATCTTGGTGGATATGTCACATATACCTCATACACTCGTCCTATTGGCGATGTGGCATCTAAATCATTCAAACCATTCATTGTGGGTTCAACCCAGTGGAATCCACCGTACGGCATGTACTGGGACATTGCCCACCCATACGAATTGTTACCTATAAAAATATATTAATAAGAACAAAAAAATACTCAATTTTACTAAATTTTTAATGAAAAAAATATACTCACAGTCCTGATATACTATCCAAGATTTCTCTTTCGCCTCATCATACCCCGGGGTCTTCGTGTTGTTTGCCTTTGCGTACCGTTTGCTCGCTTGTACTAGTCCTCGCTAGTCCACCACGTATACCTATAAAAAATAAATAAGATTATTATATGTACATTTTTAAAAATAATATACTAACCATTCTCGAACATCAACAGCATGTCATAATCATGTAATAATTGTTTCTGCCCCGTGTAGTAAACCGTGTTACTCGTGTAGTTGGACGTTTCCTAGTATTATATATTTTTACATATGATTTTGCCCTTTGGCCTTTTCGATTAGGAAACGCGTATTCATGGATACTTAGAAAAACGTAATATGAAATATTACATTAATTATAACTGTTTTTGTAAACTATGGCTTATTCATGAATATTCGGGGTAAACAACTCTTATGCATGTATTTTTAGTGAGCTTATCCGGTAGCTTTGACAGGGTCACGCCACGGACAAGAGGTCATGTGTATATAAGGGTATTAATTTAGTATATAGATTTGAATTACTTCTTACTAGTGTTACGAACCCCTGTTTATAATTTCTGAGTAATTAGCACAATAAACACAATAAGCACTTTTTGGCAATGTCCGTCGACGCAATAACGAAATACCAAATTAGCGTCGCCGGCAGTCGTATTTTATATTATACACGGGACTCATGTGAATTCGTATTCAATAAAAGTATTTAGTTAAGTGAATCAAAGACTATTTATTTATTACCTAATAAGATCCTCCGGGAATCAATCTAAAAATAATATAGTTGTTTCCACATCGAAGACGAACCTACAAACCCACAACGGACATAACCGAAAAGGGAACACAACACCTGGTGGCAGCGGTGTTCGTTGTCGAAGCAAATTATATTCAAAATAAAGAATTCACCAATAACAAAAAAAAAAAAACCAAAACTCAAAATAAGTAATATTTACAATATACAGAATATTTAATATATTAGGTATACGTTATATTACTTCAGCTAAGTACGCACCAGTGCGTACCATACGTGCGATTAGTATATTATTAGTATTAATCCTCGTCATCAAAACTAGCGTCGTCAATTATTCCGCGAAAGGAGGCGCTATTACATATATTTCCAGTGAGGACACAGTCGGCAGAACGCACTCACGGAACACAGACGCTGAAGAGACGCTACACAAGTAGTCGCAGAGGCGCTTTACTGAAATTCTAGTGAAGACGCGCAGCAGTGCGTCGCACTTGCAATTTTCATAGTCAGCATTTTGAAGAGACGCTAAGTCAAAAAAAAAAAAAAAAATCAAAATATAACAGTCATCGTCGCAGTCGCCGCCGCCGCCGACGTCCTTTAACCTCGACATTGACAGCCAGCGTAAGTGGGTCACAGTGTCACACACGGCAGAGCCAAGCAGCGTCAATCAGATGATTAAGTACAATATGCACGGTACAAACATATTATATATCATATGGATGGTACTGTAAGTAATTAATTTTCTCTCTTTATTTTTATATAAAAAAATACTTCAAATAACTAAAAACATATATGCATTATACACTACATATAAGAATTTTTTTTTCTTTTTTAAATTTTTATATTAAGTCATATAAAATATATAAGATTGCATGTCAACGTATACGAGTAGTAGTGACGATAGCAGTTCCGATCACCCTGAGTTAGATCCTGAATATATTCCACCCTATAAAGTAAGAACAAATTCACTTGAAATTTCTAGTAGGGTAACGAGATCTAAAACACAAAACTTACGTAGGCGTTCCAATAGCCTAAGTTCCATAATTTCTTTAATAAATTTAGAAGATAACACTCCTATTTTAAAACCAGAAGTCATAATGGCACCAGTAGCACTATCTTTCGAGACCGCCATAAATCTTATACCCAAATTTAACGGGGAGTGTGCACAAGAAGTGTACCCATTTTTAAGTACATGTGACTTAGTAATAAAAACAGTTAGTGAAGACTGTCGTCCCGTACTCCTACAGGCTATTTTAACTAAATTAGCAGGAAAAGCTTTCGCAGCGACGCAACACAGAGAGGTGAAGTCATGGGAAGCATTGAGAGGATTGTTGGAAGTAAAATTTTGTGCGAAGAGGACCCCAGGATATTTACAATTGGAATTAACCACAACTAAACATAAAGCTGGAGAAACAGTTCAAGAATACTCCTCAAGGGTTGAAGCACTTTTACACGAACTGTGCAATGTCAGCACTGCTAAAAGGTCTCCAACAGACGCCAAAGCAGTTCATGAATATATAAAAGAGACCACCCTAACCACATATGTGGAGGGTCTACCATCTTCTATTCGTGGAGTGATAAAATCAAAAAATCACACGTCGTTGGAAGAAGCAATCAAAGATAGCTTAGAAGAAGACAGAATAAACCAATCCAATAAAGGGACACAACGTTTATTATATAACAAATCCAATAACAACAGTAGCAGCAAATATTGTAAAAACTGTCAAAAAACTAATCATAGCACAAGTGATTGCAAATATGCCAATCGCACAGTGGATACAGGTCAACAAAGCAAGCAAAACAAGGATAACAATAATAAAACTATAGATAACAAGCGACCAACGTGTGCGTATTGCAAGAAAACTGGGCACACCCTAGAAGAATGCTATAAGAAAAAAAATGCAGATGCACGCAAAGGAAACCAGAATAATAATAATCAACCATCAACGTCGGGAAACGGCAAGGAACCGGGCAAAGCGGGTGTCCGTCTGGTTCGCGAATTGAAAATGATCACCCAAAATTAAATGTCTTAAGTTTTAAAGTGAAGTTAAAAAATAAACATGCCATATGCGAAATACCACAATGTATAAATCACAAAATTAATTTACTTTTAGACACGGGTGCAGAACTAAACCTTATTAAATTAAATACACTTCAGGACGATGTCCAGATGTCAGACAAAAAAATTTACAATATGCAAGGCATAAATGACAAATTAGTAAGTACACTGGGAAGTACAGTACTAACAGTATCAATAGATAACGAAACATACGAAACCGAGTTTCAAGTAGTGGATTCAACATTTCCTATAGTAGGTGATGGAATATTGGGAAACCCATTTCTAAAGGCCAATAGGATTATCATTGACGTAGGAAAGGAAGAATTGTCTACCAGGAATGAAAATTCAAACGTCATACCAGCTCGTAGTGAACTTATAATCCCAGTACATATTAATACTAATGAGTCATCAAGTCAGAATGTACTTATCCACGCTCAAGAAATAAACAAAAATATATTATGTGGAAATGTACTCAATATTATAAAAAATCAACAAGTTCTAATAAGTGTAATGAACCCTACAGAAGAACCACAAGAAATATTAACACCAAAACTCACGGATCTATCTCACGAAATACTCGATACAGTCTCAATGAACAATATGCGTACGGTAGAAAAATGTAGCAATCCAAAAAATCGTATCCAAATTTTAAAAGATTCACTCAGATGCGACCATATGAATAAGGAAGAAAAAACAACAATTCAAGAGCTATGCAGTGAATATGCAGACATATTCTTTTTAAAAGGAGACACAATTAACTGTACAGAAGCGGTACAACATGAAATAAAAATACCAAGTGGCACTCAACCAATTTATCAGAAACCGTATCGTCTTCCATATGCACAGAAGAAAGAAATAAATAAACAAATCAAACAACTAGAACAAAATGAAATAATAGTCCCCAGTGAGAGCCCTTGGAACGCTCCACTTCTTATTGTCCCGAAGAAAATGGATGCTTCAGGAAGTAAAAAATACAGAGTCGTGGTAGATTTCAGAAAGTTGAATAATATCACAGTAGGTGACGCATTTCCGATGCCTGACATAACATCAATTTTGGATCAGCTAGGGAAAGCGAAATACTTCTCCTGTCTTGATTTAGCTAGCGGTTATCACCAAATTGGAATTCATCCAAAAGATATGGAAAAAACAGCTTTCAGTAAGAGTGAAGGTCATTATGAGTTTAAGAGAATGTGCTTTGGTCTAAAAGGGGCCCCAGCAACATTCCAAAGATTAATGAACAGAGTATTGAATGGGATAAACGGCTCAAGGGCATTTGTATACTTAGACGATATAATTGTTATCGGCGCAACTCTTCAAGAGCATACAACACGTCTACGTGAAGTGTTTGAGAGACTAAGGCAATATAATTTACAACTCCAACCTCCAAAGTGCGAATTTTTGAGGAAGGAAGTGAATTATCTGGGACATGTTATCACAGAAAACGGCGTGAAGCCCGATCCAAAGAAAATTGAATGTATAGTTAACTATCCGGTACCCGATAACGCGAAGAAAATAAAATCTTTCTTAGGATTAATAGGGTATTATAGAAAATTCATAAAGGATTTTAGCAAAAAGGCCAAGCCTCTGACTAACTTATTAAAACAAAATCAACCATTCATCTGGTCAGATAGCTGCGAAGACTCTTTCCTTTTCTTTAAGAATATTTTAACAAATGAACCAATATTGCAGCATCCAGATTTTGATAGACCATTTATCGTGACAACAGATGCGAGCAATACGGCTATTGGAGCAATTCTTTCACAAGGAAAAATTGGAACCGACCTACCTATCACATACGCTTCGCGTACTCTGAACAAAGCTGAAAAGAACTACAACACCACAGAAAAGGAGTTGCTAGCGATAGTCTGGGCAGTAAAACAATTCAGACCGTATTTATATGGTCGGAAATTCACAGTGGTTACTGATCATAAACCACTAACCTGGCTATTTGGGGTCAAGGATCCAGGAGCCCGTTTGGTTAGATGGAGATTACAACTGGAAGAGTTTGATTATGATGTCATATATAAACCAGATAATCAGAATACAAATTCAGACGCTTTAAGCAGAATATCAAAGGTAAACGCATTGTTACACTCAAATGACTACAAACAAAAGTCATATCAACAATTCACCGAAGAGGTACAAACGAAGCTCATCACAAACCCCAATGTTATTGAAGTACAAGGGGATATATTCGAAACCTCAAAAGACATTGCGTTGGGACATTGCGTGTCCAAGGATTTCAAGATGTCTCAAGGGATAGCCTTGGAATTTAGGCGTAAATTTGGTCAAATTGAGAATTTAACGAGTCAAAATAAAGAAGTAACAGAAATAGCAAGCATTCAACACAATGATCAAAATATCTTATATATAATTACAAAGAATCATCACCAAGAAAAGCCAACTTACGAAACATTTTACCAAGCAATAAAAAACCTAAGAACATTCTGTGAGGAAAACCAAATCGAAAGACTGGCCTTACCAAAAATCGGTAGTGGACATGACCAGTTAAATTGGGATCAAGTCCGCACGATATTACGTTACGTTTTTAAAAAATCAAAAATTAAAATTATCATCTATGTAGATACTACATATTCGGATCAAGAGAAACAAAATATAATAAAGGAATTCCACCTGACACCTTTAGGGGGACATCAGGGAATTTCCAAAACTGTTAAAAGAATTAAACTACATCATTCGTGGAAAGATTTAAAGAACGACGTTATAGAGTACGTAAAAAAATGTACTTCATGTCAAATGAACAAAAGTAGCAACCACAGCATTCAACAGCCGATGGTAGTCACCACAACTGCGTCAAAACCATTTGAGAAGATATTCCTGGACATTGTAGGGCCAATCGATACTTCGTTGGAAGAGAATGCGTACATTCTTACGATCCAAGACGATCTTACAAAATTCTCAGTTGCTATACCATTACCCAACCACACTGCTAATAATATCGCAAAGGCCTTCGTAGAGAAATTTGTGTGCCTTCATGGTATACCCGATTCTATTCTAACAGATCAGGGTCCAGACTTCTTAA